GCCTCCCAAGCTACTGGGAATACATGCATGGGCCAGGGTGCCTGGCTTGGGTACTCTTTTTGTATCCAATTTTAAAAGCAATAGAGCTGAGGCTCGAGTGGATAGAGTAAAATACCTAATATTACAAAAGTTTGCATATGACAGAGCCAAGTCCCTTTGATTCCAGCACTTGAATATCTAATCTACTATTTCATTCTCATATCCTTTTTTGGAAAAAAAAAAAACATTACAAATACAAGGCTTAGGAATGAGACTTGCAGAGGGACAAAAAAAGAAAAAAAAAGTTTATTTTGCCAATTTTCTTCTTTATTGTAGATCAGATGTCCATAATGGTTACTATTACAATTCTGTTATAAAAGATTAATCAGTGGTTAAAACAAAAACAAACAAACAAAAATTAAAGACATTCACACAAAGAATTCTAGAGAATCAACTTTTGGTTATAAATGTAACCAAATCTAAAATTTCATTCAACTACTGTCCTTTATAATTTAAAAGTTATTCAGAAAATATGTTAATATTTTCCAAAGAATTAATGCAGCCAGTGGGGAAAATCATAAAGTTGAAAATAGAGAAAATTTTTATTTTTAAAAATTCAAACATTAATAATGGAAAGCAAACATGCCTATTAACTCCCAATTTGTATAGATAACTTACAAATATACTTTGGATAACAAAATTAGAGTTCAGGACAATAAGAGGTAGGAAGCTGGACCTGGTTGTGGCACACACCTATAATTCCAGTCACTCAGGAGGCTGAGTAAAGCAGGAGAATTTCAATTTCAAGACCAATCTTAGTAATTTACAGACCCTGTCTAAAAATTGAAAAGGACTTGTAATGTAGCTCAGTGGTAGACGGTATGATTCCTGGTATCACCCCCTCCATCTCCACCTTCCAAAAAAATAGGGACGAAGCATGCTTTTTGAAAAATTGATTCTATTAACAGTTTTCTTGATCTGAACAAAAAAAAATTCATTTCTAGACCATATGAAATATTTTTAGAGCATTATAGTATTTGGGTTCTTTTTGACAAAATAATACATACAAGGAATTTGATTTCAGTCCCCATTCCCCCTCCCTTTTTCTTTCCTTCTCCTGCTCTCTTTTCTTCTCTCGGTCTTCCTTTCACTCCTTTAATTATTTTTTATTGTTATGTACTGATATATGTTATATTTATGTGTACATATATACAGGTGAAATTCTTTTAGGTACATTTATATATGTATGTAACAAGCTATTGTTTGTTCAAGACTACATAAAAAATTTAAATTTACAAGCTATCCACCAAAAACGTTTTAAAACTAGCGTTATTATCCGAATTTTAAAAATTCCCAACTTCCTGGTAGTAACTTATGCTTATAAAACATCAGGTAGCATAAGAGAAAAGGACAGATATTTACTGTACTATTTCAGTCTAATTAATGAACTAGATAATGCCTCAGAGACTAGATGAAAATGACACTGCTTAGATAATTGATTTTTCCAGTTAATAATTAATATTTTATATGACCTGACCAAGTCCATAAACTCCTTTTTCTTTATAATCTTGCCAGTTGCCCTCAATTCCTTTCAAATGTTATTTTATTTATTTATTTATTTAAAGTTATTGATGGATCTTTATTTTATTTATTTGTATATGGTGCTGAGAATCGAACCCATTGCCTCATGCATGCCAGGCAAGCGCTATACCACTGAGCCACAACCCCAGCCCTCAAGTGCTATTTTAGACTATTGTTCATATGATACTTGCAAATTTACTAAAAACGCTAAAATAAGTTGCTCTAGTTGGTAATTTACTTCGAAGGAAATGTTATCCTATGAGCACTTAAATTCAACCTTCTTAAAATGTCTTTATACAAAAATGACAGTTAATTTTGCCATATAAGACTCTGGGCTCTATAACGAGTATCTTCCTTGAATCTTTTTTCTTTTTTTTTTTTTTGTTTTTAGTACAATTATTTTAAACATTGCCAATTTCTGTGACACACACTTGATGATAGAAATTTTAATGTTTTGATAGGTTAATTGGTATTGTTTGTTGACCAGCATGTTCTATTTAGAGTGCTGTTTTGCTATGTGCTAACACATGTCTTCGGTGGCAAGTGGTTGCTGGGTTTCCTCATGCCTATACATTCCAGACATTGTTCTCAGTACATGGAGTAAGATGTTATACTAATAGATTTTGATGATATTTAACTATAATTATACTACAGTGTAGAGGTAGATTAATTTCATTAAAGTTGTCTGTAATGGAAGATATCTAGGCATAAAATCCCAACCAAAATTTAGAGATGCACCAACACTTATATGCGATCCTCCCAACACAAATAACAAAATCTGAGGATGCTGAAATTCCTAACATAAAATGGAATAGTATTTGCATGTAACCTACACATATACTCCTATATATATTAAATCATCTATAAGTTACTTATAATGCCTAATACAGGATAGATCCTATGTAAATAGTTGTTATACTATATTGTTTAGGGAATGACAGCAGGAAAAAAGTCCATACATATTCCATACAGAAATAATTTTTTTCTGAGTATTTTAAATCTACAATTCGTTGAATCTGCAGATGCAGAACCTTTGAATACAAATGATCTATGGTTCTTAGTTGGCAGGTCAGTGGTTCAAAACTTGCAGAATTAAAAACCTTAAACCTTTCAGTTTCGTCCATCATCTACATCCTTCTATGCCAGTTTCCAAGATCATCAATATAATCTTTGGGAATTGCTAAGAAAACAAATAATGAAAAATACCAGTTTCAAAAACAATGTTAATCCAGTAAAATAGGAAAGAAATTGTCTTTGGAGTCAAATTTTAAGACTCCTTGCAATTAAGTCTTATTCTTAACATCCTTGATTTTTTTTTCCTCCTGCTAAATTGTCTTCAAAAGTCAACAAAGAATCTCTGAACAATAACTTTACATTCTACATATCCTTCCAAACAATTCCTGAAGCAGTATCTTTGCTTAGTTTCCACATGGGCAGTTTGGGATGGTTGGATTTCCTTTTTGGAGCACTGAGCTGGAGGAAGGACATGTGAGGAAGAGGAGGGAAAGACTTATAGTCAAGAAAGTGTCATAACCTATTTAAAAAGTGTCAGTCACTGACCATAGAGAAAGCAAAATACTGTAAGAATGTGTAATGCTAAAGGTCTTGCCCCTCACTTAAATGTGTTTTCCACACATTATTACATCATTACTAAGCATAATATAGACTCAAGGCAAACACTAATTCAACTGTCTTGACATTATCTTTAAACTGAATCCTTCAGATTTAAATAGTTAACTATGAAAAATGTTTTTACTTCTTTTTCCTCCTTGTATTTCTAAGGATATACCATACCACTCAGTTCTGTATTTTTCATTTAAAGCTCCAAGGAAACAAGATGATTATATAGAACACTCATATTTTGATAGAAGATGGTTGTTATGTTTGTGATGTGGAGTTAAAACTTTTAATTACCCCCAATTATATAAAGTGTTACATGTTTTATTTTTGAACATTAAAATTCAAATCCCAACAAATGAGAATAAAAGGTGTTTTGTTCTCATTTCCATTACAAGTTTATAAAGTATTGTACTTTTTTTTCCCCTAGGATGAAACACAATTTATATACCCCAATTGAGTTTTCCCCGAGAGCTTTCTGGAAAAGTTTACTCATAAATTCAAACTACTCAAATAGTAGTTGATGCTTCCAAGATTCAAAATATTCTTAGAAAATCTTAAAAGAAATCTTTACTATGAGCTGGGATTATAACTCAGTGGTAGAGCACTTGCCTAGCACATGTGAGGTACTGAGTTTGATCCTCAGTATCATATAAAAATAAATAAAATAAAGGTATTGTGTCCATCTACAACTAAAAAAATATTAAAAGAAAAAAACATATTTACTACATAGAAAGTTTTTGTTTTTTCAAATGATGTCAAATCTTCATCTGTGAAGGAAAAGTCTGACTTCTAGAAAATCATTATCTCTATGTATTAGGAAGATCAAACTAGGAATGATTATGATTTCGTTTCCATGAAAGTCGTAATTATAAACAATAAAATGTATTTCCATATGTGTCTTAGAAACAGGGATTTCAAAGTGCCTCTTTGTTTGAATATATTCTAGACAAAAAATTATCTCAATTTCACCTTGTTCTATGTTTAACTTAAAAAAAATACAAATATGTAGCCGTGACGTTTGTTTCTTATATGTAATTCATTTGTAATTGCTATATTACTAGGAAAAAAAAGACAATCCCTTTAGTTTTGGTCAACTACAAACCTATTTAATACTTTTTTAAACATCAAAAACACAAAGAAAACCTTAACACAAATTTATTGAAATTCACACCTAGCCTTTTAAAGTATTTATTTCCATTTTCAGAATGGCATTCTTGGGCATAATTTAAAGGAGTGCTCAAATTATCATCTCAACAGGGACTGGAAGAATTATGATGAAAAGCATTTTAAAATTCTGTTTGCTACACCTTGCTTTAAATACTTGCATATAACTGGGAAATGGAAAGGGAAAAAAAATGCTCAGTGTTCCCAGTGAATGATTAAAGGGAAGGCAGAGGCTAATAGTCTATTACTTAATTGATTTTTAAAGTTAAAACTTGGACTATATTAAATTACACTACCTTTCCACTTGCTTATTCAAGAATCTATCTACATTAGGAGTTCGAAGAGCACCTTACCCTTAAATCCTTAAGCTAAATTGCAAAGTTCTATTGTTTGTTTCTAATTCATATGATGAAAAAACATACATGAATTGCAGCATTTGTCAGTTATCAAGTTCTATAGTTAAAATTGACCTGTGGGCAAATAGATCATCTTCAATGTATAATAATTTTATATTCAAGTACAATATCAAAACATATCCTCTAAATCCTATCAACTGAATAATAGTAAACCTTTTAATACCTAAAGTTTTAAACTTTTCTCTAAAAACTTATGTTTGAAAATAAACTTTGTAAAAAATCCTATTTTAGCAGGTTTGATAATATCAACTGGTAAAACTTTATTTTACAAGCAATAGGAATTGGACCAAATGATTATTATAATCCAGAGGAAGTATTTTATAACCATAGCAAATGCCATTATACATACTGCCAATACAGATTTAATAGACAATACTGAACTGTACAAGAATTATTTATTTTTCCTTAATCTCAAAGCTATTTTTAGTAGTACAAAAAAGCCATTATTAACATTTTTCCATTAGAAAACAACATGATGTACAAAACTTTGGATGAAAAGATATGTCAAATTTCATTTAATAACTTGGAGGAAAATCCATCACTCCCTCAATACCACCCAAAGTGTATAGGCAGTGATTAAAATCAAAATAATGCATCTTAATAAATCCCAGCGGTTAAAAGAACAAAACTAGCAATTTATAATAGTTTTCTACACAGTATTTTTCACAACTCACTTTGGGAGTTATTTTTTTTTTTTAACTGAGCCCTACTACATGCCAGGCACTGTACTTGGCCAACTAGGTATTTGCAAAAAAGTTAGTTAAGGTGGGAAAGACCCATAAATCAGTCCTTTGGTTACCAGATTTGATTTTTAACTTACAAACATCCTCCAAGATCAAGAAATTCTAAAAATACACACCCTTCCAAATGTTACTTGACTTTATTAGTAGGGAGGGTGTTTAGTACAGAGAAGTCATGAACCATTATTTTTGACCCATTATTCCAATTAAAAGAGCATATCAAAAAGCTAATTTGTTATTTTCCTAGTAAGATTTTGGCATTCAGGTGTTATAATTGCAGTTCACTGGTTTTTCATGTTTTTCATTGCAAGTTGCTCAAAAACAGCAAAACAGCTGTGCATGAACAATTATGCATTTTAAAAAGCAATGGTATTTGATAAATATTAAAATTCAATTCGATATAGCATCCAGTGAACAAAAATATCCAGTTATGGAGTGCTAAAGAGGAGAGAGGTAAACTAGGAAGGATTAATACATAGAGTATTTATCATTTCTTTTGAGTAACAAGCTGCTAATATACTTTCATTAAAATAAAAAATGGTTGCAACTATGCTAAAGGCCCATAAATTGACAAGGTTGTCCATTTGACACCATAACTTCATTACATAAGTCTGTTTTCTTAAGGTATAACATAATCTAAGCAATAATTTGGAAATTAGCCAACTGCTAAGCAATTACAATGGCAGGTAATACACCATCAACTTTTAAAACACATTTGGCCACTTTTCATGACCCATCTGTGGTTCAGATTCAATAGACTCTCATTTTATAAAATTTAAGTTTCTGGACCTGTATGATAAGAAAATTATTTTATGAAATATTCTCATAAGACATTTAATAGTCTTAGGGTCACACCACTTTTGTTCTAAGTGACTTAATCTGACATGCTATATAGCTACAATAAAAAGTAATTTTTAAATGAAAACTAAATGCAGATAAGTGGTAACAGATTGAACATGGAATGTTATAAGATCTTCCTATATATGTAATCATACACTGCTGATTATGGATTTCAGAGCTTGAAAAACTTCAGATTAAAAATCACAACCAAATTTACTCTTGATAGCATGCGAGATCTTTTTAAAAATTAACCTAAGACCTAGAAGTCTCAGTATTATCAGAACATAAAGAAACACAACAAATTTGTACATTTTATTCACATTTATTTTTCGCTTTTAGTGTGCTCACAGAAAATTAGAACACCTTAAGCAGGAGTTTAATAGCAATTTTTGTAAGCAAAGTTACATTCCATCTCTAAGTCAAATTGGTCAAAGCTTCTCCAGTATTTACAAAACATGATAGACAAGATGCTACACAAAACCATTGCATCTGAAGTTTTTTTTTCCTTTATTCTCAAAGACAACTGGAAAAGAAAGCATTGTCTGCTGTAATCAAAAACATACCACAGTATAAACAGTAACCATTCCACTTATCACAGCTTGGTTGAGTTTAAAATTTGTGATTAAAAGGTCCAAGATGACTGCAGTTTTACAAAAATGGGCAGGGTGAAAAGTTGCAAACTTCATGTGCTTCTGGATATCAAGATTTGTTTTTATACAATAGTCACAGTTAAAAACACCCTGCTGGTAATACATAATTACACTTTATTAAGGTCATAAACCAGCAATAAACAATAAAGCCTATACAACTTGTAGTTCTACTTAATCACTGACTGATACAGCTAACATGAGATAAGTGAAAAGTTCCTATGGTTTAAATGAACTCCTAAGACTATGATCTTTTTTTAAAATCTGGGTATTGGTGTTTTTTTTTTTCTTTCCTTCTTACTCAAGACTTGTAGTGTTGTAAACCTGCCTCACAAAATACATCGTAATAACTTTTCTTTAAAAAAAAAAAAAAGACTAAGCCTTTACACCATCATTTCTAGTGGCACATTATCTTGGCAATGTCATGCACCACTTCATTTTCTCTATTGTGGCCCCTAATCACTTCATTTGATATCCCTTTTTGACCCACCCATCTCCTTCATATATGGGCATGTCCATAGATTGACAAAGAAAGTTTACATTTTTGAATAAAGATGCAAAGTATGCAAAAAACATTAATACTGATGCAAAAAAAAAAATAAAAAAAAAATAAAAGAAAAAAGAAACAAGGCAGAGGAAGGTGTTTTAAGCTCTCCTCGACCAGTTGGAATGGTGGTAACAGAATGATTTGAGATGGGATCTGTGGGGAAAGGGGAAAAAAATTTACTGCTAAAAAAAGTCAAAAAAAAAAAAAAAAGGAAGACGAAAAGAAAAAAGAAAAAGAAAGAAAAAAACATCTTTAAAATCAATCCCTGGTTGTAGACAAGTTCTCCAAAACCAGTACCTGGCACCACTCCAACAAACAAACGGGGGAGAAAAGTTCTTCGATTATCTCATAACCTCTGGCCCTTTTACTCTGCCGCCTCTGTTGGGGGCGCTTCTGGACTGCACTCCGGCTGCGCCTCCTGTGATGGGGCTGCGCAGGCAGACGAGGCGCAGG